GACTGCGCGTGTGAATTATTAAAGAAAACGACGAAACAAGTGCTTTGATTGAAGTGAGTGTCGTCATCAACTGTCCGCTGGGTTGAGCTCTCGTCAAAATCTAAACTTATTCCAAAAACTTCGCAATGTGACGCATCAGCATATTGTAAAGAAAAAATGTATAAAAAGAAGATTCCGAAAGAAATGATAAGCTCAGAAGAGCTAGAACCGACAGCCGTAAAGCCGGTTAAATAAAATAAAAAATGGTCATAATGGTTTTTTCGTTTAGTGGCTAGAAAAAATTATTTATATTAAAAAAAACTATCTATATTAGTTTGAATAAATTAATTGGTCATAATATGAGGAAACCCTTATAAAATATGGCCACAACCCACAAACGAGCACACAGTCTATCTGATGGTAAGCGGTTGCTGTGGCCCATAGACATCTACATTTATCCTCGATTAAGAATCAGAATGCAAAAATGCGTTGTCACCCGTGAGGATTAAGACGGAATGCCTCGTTTCCAGTAAGAAGGGTCTCCGGTTCTCTACACTCACCATACGAAACACAGCAGCATTGAGCATTTCCCTGGTCGAGCCGACCTATTCGTGCTACAACTATAATATAAAGTTTATAAATGTATTTTATTATTATATGCAACGTGTTCATTACACAAATAATCCATGTAATTAAGTATTAAATTATTAATGTAATCGCCGGCACGAGTCGTGAGCACACTTTTTATTGGTCGTTATGACGTTGACAACGCTGACGCTCAACGTGATTGGTTCGTCAGCTGATTCTCGTCATCTATTGGGTACGCACGTATCATTCGACTACCGTACACTTGAGAGCAATTTTAGTGATAACATTTTAATTAGTTTATTTTTGTTAATTGTAGTGTGGGTGTTTGGATGAAGGCTGTTTGTGTGTGTTGTGTTACCTCGTTGTTAATTGTTGTTTGTGTATTTCTTGTTTTCAACTGTTTTGATATTTATTGTTGTTATATTTTTTTGTCATAATTCTAGCATTCAGATTTTGGTCAAAATATGCAGAGAAGAAAGAATTCTGTGTTAAATAGACAATCCCGACAAATTGTATATTCAGTGTTTTGTTACATGAAAACGTTAGGTATTGCGAAAAACATGATAGACGTTTAGAAACGGACTGCTGAGGCGACTAATGTTTACGTAGCTACTGTACGGCGTATATTTAAAGGAGTTAACGACTCTGAATTTCGAAAAAAAGTCAGCGAAAATATTCAATTACGAATTAAAGTAAAAAAGTACCAAATAATTTTGGCCGACAGTGTACCTACGCTGGATCAGTCCCCACCATAGTTCATCTGTGCTCCAAAGATTTAGTTATTTTTAATAGTACTATTTAAATCTTTGCTGTGCTCACGACTCGTGGCGTCAAATATATAATATGTTTAATGGGTAAGTCTGCTCAAATTCTAATTTTGACCCCCACTTCCCCGCGCGTCGTATGCACCGACATGTTTGTAATCAATAATACTGTAAGTAGATAAGTCTTTAGATACTTATTTCATTAGGTTTATCATATTTATGCCGCCAACCCAGTCGCTTCTTATTTTTATTATGGTTATTTCCCATTATAATTTTTCGTTGTCATGTTGCGTAATGTGTTTCTGTTCGTAAGCGACACAACTTCCAACTTCAAAAACCGAAGCGATACTAACCGGTCGGCAGGAATCAAGCTTCAAGACGCCGATAGTTTAGGTAATTTCTTTTTACAGTGAAAATAAAGGTATTTTAATAAAAGTAAATAACATAAGCACTGCTTTATAGTTAGTTCAGTTAGTATGCGAAGGTTCATGATCTTATTTAAAGTATTTTATGAATAACAGCGGTTTATTGTTCAGTTTGGAGGTAACTTAGGATTTGTTTCTATCGAGAAAATTTTACGGAATCGTGTTTTCGTCTAACATAGTTCTTAACATTAATTCTCAACTTTACCATATATTTATTTCAAAATTAATGCTGCAATATTTTCGGCATAATGGAGGATCTTGCTAAGCCACTAGAGGTTATATTTCCCCTTAATATTTTTTGTTTATGTAGTAAATAACATGCATTATATGTTATATGTATAGATAAAGTGTATTATAATATTTATATCTCAGTATATCGTCGCACGTGAAATTACAAGTGCAAACATAATATATGCACTTGTAATTTCACCTGCGACAATGTTTCATACTTAGAGTATACATTAGCAAAGCTTGTTTACGTATACTCTAAGGTTTCAATTTCTTCACACTACACTAGCATAGAATGCCGTTAAGCATTAAGTTGGCCCTTTGTAACTTTATTCTAAAATGTGACAGCAATAAAGTTCAAATAAAGAAATTATATAGGTAACTGTCACACTACATTGTAAGTTGTAGAGCCATGCTACTGCTATAATATTATGGTTGGTTGTAAGACTACGCTTTCACATTATTCCAGCGTAAACTAGTTGCGTGAGTGTGAAGAGCCGGAAACTCTTTTACCTGGAAACGAGGTATTCCAACATAATCCTTGGCGGTGACAACGCATCTGTATTTTGATCCTTAATCGAGGATAAATACAGATGTTTATGGACCAGACTATTCAATAAACATCAGGTGTACTTTTTGCTCGTTTGTCACCCTTATTCTACAAAAACATTGACTACTATATACCAAGTGCCGTGTGGTAAAAGTACGCGTCATCCCATCTCATCCCACAGGTGTCGTAAGAGGCGCCTATGGGATACGACAAAATATCTTATTGCTTCCGATAGATGGCGACATTATCTTGTTTAGGCCAGACATAAAATACCCATACCGACGAACAGCTACAGTAGACATGTGTGAATCATTCATTTCTCGTGACCGAATTATTCTACTACATTTCGTCACGCGTACCGGTACATTCGGTACGATCATTTAAATGGATCATTGGGGTCCAGTACCCTACACTAAAAACAATTCATTCAGATCATTTGGGATTCGGTCGGATTTCGACTCATTCACAGTTCACACCAATCACGAGTTAAAAAAGTTCCGTCAATTGTTTGTGATTGGTTGTACCGGCACATTCAAAAACAGATGAATGAACCATCAATGCTTTTAAGTGTACCAGCTCAAACGAACGAATCATTCATGATCGACACAGGTCTAGGCTACAACATCAAAGGTGCGAGACGTCTGGTATTGTATCTGCCACCTGTATTTTATAATAAAGTATTAAACATAATTATTTCAACCGTAGGTACTTTAATTTTAAGAGAACAAAAATTTTGAAAATACATATTATTTTAGCAGTTTTTACTACTCATGTGATTTTTGTTTTTTCGTAAAATAATGAGTTATAGGCATAAAAATCTGTATAAGAATGAAATTAGATAGGTACAAGGAAATAATTCTGACGATTTTTTTAGATTAATGCACTTTCTAGTGTTAAACAATTTTTAAAGTAGTAGGTCATAGGAAGTAAAATTTTCTTTCCAGAATACAGAGGGTAAGGGGAATGCAAGGTCTTCCTATAAACAGTTCCTCTAAACTTAAGATATTAAAGAAATCATAAATTTATCACTTATTTAATATCTTAACTTAGATATAGAATCTTAAAGAGCTGTTAAGGTTTCCAGCAAACAATAACAAGTATTTTTTTAGATATTACTAAAAGCAGCAAATACTCTACATGTATAAAAATAGCAAGTCAAAAAATATTTTTTCCTTATTATTAATTATTTTACTTATTTTTTCTAGTTTATAGTAAATAGTAAATACTATATAAATAATAAATTTTCTACTCTAAAAGGTGGCAGCCCTACTGCTTAACGTGAAAACCCTCAACGTCTGGGACCCATGTCCAGACGTAGACTATTACGAGCACCTATTGCACTAACTTTTACCTTAGAGTTACAATTATAATTTTTCCTAAATATCTGTAAAAGTATATTCCAATAAGCGATTGAATAATTTACATGTAAATATGTTACATAGTAAATATTCATTTATTAGGATGCTATCCACTTCAAAAAATCGTCGAAGTACGAGTACACTACAGTCGTGCCCAGACAATGCAACGACGCGGCTAGCGAGCATATCGCGAAGGACGAGCGAGTCGGTATTATCGCGACCGATCCGATTGTTTTGCGGGCAATTAGCGTCTCTGGGCCCGTCCCGCACGTGCCGTCCCGCCACAATCGCGCCGAGCCGCCGAGCAGAGCACCGGGCACCGAGCACGAGCACCGACTGAAGCATAAAGGCCAGTACATGGTGCGCGCCTCACGCGAGTGGCTGTGTCACGTGTCGACGCAACCCGGCACGTAAACGCGTAGTAGTTAGCGTTATCGTTCGAAAACTTACTACTGGCTGGTACTATTTGTTTACCGATTGTTTTTTTTTGACTCTGTTCGTTTAGCTATTGGATCATTTTATTAGAAATACTTTTTTTGAAAATTTATAAAGCGCTTATTTTATTCATCGTTTAATAAAAGTAAAATAGGTAAATGCTCATGCTTTAGCATTTATAGTTCATTTACTTAGATTACTTCAAAGAAAATGTATGCACATCATCTTGTTAGTATCACTTGAAAGTGAAAAATCATTTTTGAGCGCTTGACTGACATAATGGTAGAAAAAGTTAGTAAGTATCATTAAATAGTAGCGTAAAAGACCAAACAACATCTCCAAGAGGGATGTCTCGGAGCCGCCGGGAAAAGTTTCCTCAAGAAAGAGTCCTAAGGGTCGGCGAAAACTTGGCAGTCAAAAGTTCGCGAAAGTTGTCCGCACGCAAGACTCCCGAACTTTGTGTTCGTACTTAACTTTCCCCGATAGGAATCCGGAGGCAATTTTCAAGAACGTTTCATTCTGTTTTATCGGAAAACAAATGAGTACCAGGGATACGATCGAAGTAAATAAGTGTTGTTCGGTTTCAGATGCTATTCGAAAAGTGAATGCACCAACTGATTATGGAATGCAACGGTTATTCGAACTTTTAAAGTGAATTGTAATTTAGACTAAAATGGCAGCAGCCATGATCAGTGATCGGGGCTTACGGAAGAAGCTAACACAAGAAGCGATACCAGAGAAAACGCCGAGGAAACCTTCCAAGCGGAAGTCGACACCCGGCAGTTCTAAAAGCGACAAAAAGAATGAACAAAATAATAATAAGCGACCGAAGGTACAAACGGGCGATCCGAAGCTAGATTTGTTCTCGACATATCAACCATGGGTCATACAGACTTATGGGGATTTGGCGAAGACTAAAACTATCACGTTGAAAAAATATGCGCGAATTCTACGTACGCTGCGCGGCGAGGAGTGCAACAGTTCTGACAGTTCAAAGTTTCGTTTTTGGGTGAAGGCAAAGGGTTTTTACGTGGGCAAGCCACCTGGATACGAACCGAAGCCAGCCGACGGTATTGTCTGCCGATACAGTGTTGTGGACGCAGAAGGATGTACCAGAGCTGCCGACGGCCAGGAGGTCTACAGCGGATCACAAAACGATCCTCCGCTGTACATACCTACACCACCTCTAAAGGTAAACTTATATTTTTATTAATAACAATTATTAGTTTTTTAAATGACAATATGTTTTCTTTACAAAATGGTAGTGATCCGTCGTTCATTTACATGGTTTTGTAATTGCTGATTGCCGACTTGTTTAGCTTTGTTCGATTTAAATTAGCGCGAAGATCACTCAAGTTATATGTAAACGTAATGAAAGGATTTATTCATTTATTGTTTTACGTGGTAGAGCCACGCTGCAGCTATATTATGGTTGTAGCACGAATGGGTCGGCCTGGCCGGGGAAACACCACGCTCTCACAGAATAACAGCGTAAAATGGTAGCTTAATGCTGCTGTGTTTCGTATGGAGAGTGTAGAGAACCGGATACCATTTTTACTGGAAACGGGGCATTCCATCTTAGTCCTCAGGGGTGACAAGGCATCTGCGTTGTGATTCTCAATCGCGGATAAATGTAGATGTTTATGCGCCACAGCATCCACTTACCATCAGGTGGACTGTGTGCTCGTTTGTCACCCTTATTCTATAAAAAAATTATAATTATCTATTAAAATTTTTAAATTATATAATCTATAAAAAACAGCGCCACCTACCGGTTCTAAGTTCTAATCTAAGCCATCCAGAGAACCACCCAAACACACAAAAAATTTCATAAGAATCGGTCGAACCAGTTTTGAGTTTTAGCGAAATTAACGGACAACAATAGGCCATCTTCAAAGTATATAAAAAACTCACTTATATTTTAAATTACAGACATGCCAAATATAAAGATACTTAATTAAAACGAACATGTTTGTATAAATAAAATATTACGCTATGTAAATGCTAAAATACCAAAAAGTTTTGAGTGAGATCGAGATGTTCTACGATCAGTAATTGTGCATATCGTCATTGGAGCTACATGAGTAGATATTAAGTTTATCTACTCATGTGTTGGAGCCATACCCAATTGTAAGTAACGACGCCCACGATCAGGTTTCATCCGACAATATTTCGGTGATATCCTGGACTTCAGTCTGAGCGAGATTGAAGCCCGCCAGGTGAGAAGAGTTTTTTTATTTTGTTTATTTTTATAGGATAGGGTGACAAACGAGCACACAGTCCACCTGATGGTAAGTTGTTGCTGCGGCCCATAGACATCTACATCTATCCTCGACTACAAATCAAAATGCAGATGCGTTGTCACCCGTGAGGACTAAGATGGAATGCCTCTTTTCAGTAAAAAGGGTCTCCGGTTCTCTACACTCATCATACGATACACAGCAGAATTAAGCTACGATTTTACGCTGGTATTCTGTGAGAGCGTGGTCCTTCCCCGGTCGAGCGGACCCATTTGTGCTACAACTATACTACTAATATAACTGCAGCTTGCAGCTTGACTCTACCACGTGTAAAAGATATAGAGGAGCTTCTAAAAACGGTATGAAACTATTATTTTTAATCATTTAGAAGCTGTTTAATTTCGTCCTCCATGGTGGCGCTACACAGGAGACTTGGAGCAGAAGTGTTTAACGCTTTATTGAATAACTACACGTTAATTTCCCGTCTGGGCCTCGGTCGCGTTCTGGTATCGAATCAACTTGCATGCAGACCACTTTGCTGCCGAACCGGTTTCGAAAAGGTTTTAGTACTATAGACCACATACCCTTCGACAGGTTATGTAGAAGACTGCAGAGTATAATCTGCCACTTGGTCTGATGTATGTGGACTATCAGAAAGCTTTAAATTCCGTCAAACTTTGGACAGTGCTAGTGTCTCATCAGCGGTGCAAAGTTGTCTGTTAGTATATCGAAGTGTTTAAACAGTAGGGCCACGAAGGCTATCCGAATACAGGATCAGAGTATGATACGTATCCGAATGCAGCGCAGTGTAAGACAGGGGGACGTCATATTACGAAACTATTCACAGTTACATTAGAAAATGTCTATAAGCTACTAGACTGGAAAGAATGTGGTACTAACATCAATGATGTGTACATCACTCACCTTCGATTTGCCGACGATAGAGTTATTATGGCAAAATCACTAGAGAACCTTAGCATTGTGTTCAATGACCTTAGTAGTTGCTCGCAATGGATAAGTCTTAAGATGAACATGAAGAAGGCAAAGGTCAGGTGTAACGTCCATGCTTTAACCTATGCTTTAAAATTGACGGATCTAACTTGCAGCAGCGTTCGGGAGATTATGACACATCTCGTCATAACCTAAAAACAAGAGTGTAAAACCAGTGTATATAGCCAATGATGATAATGGAGATTCTTATGGATCTGAGCACATCTCGTCACGTATGTCGTTAAGAAAGAAAACTTAAAAAACATGAGTGTACAACCAGCCAGTGTATATAGCCAATGATGACATATGAATCTGAGCACATCCCGTCACGTACGAAGTTAAGTAAGAAAACCTAAAAATAAGAGTGCACAACCAGTGTATATAGCCAATGATGACATATAGATCTGAGCACATCTCGTCACGTACGTCGTTAAGTAAGAAAACTTAAAAACAAGAGTGTGCAATCAGTGTATATAGCTAATGATGACATGGATCTGAACTCATCTCGTCACGTACGTAGTTAAGTAAGAAAACCTAAAAACAATATTAAACAACCAGTGTATATAGCCAATGATGACATATGGATCTGAGCACATCTCGTCACGGAAGAAAACCTAAAAACAAGAGTGTACAACCAGTGTATATTGCCAATGACGACATGTGGATCTGTATCTCGTCACGTACGTCGTTAAGTAAGAAAACCTAAAAACAAGAGTGTACAACCAGTGTATATAGCCAATGATGACATATAGATCTGAGCTCATCTCGTCACGTACGTCGTTAAGTAAGAAAACCTAAAAACAAGAGTGTACAACCAGTGTACATTGCCAATGATGTCATGTGGATCTGAACTCATCTTGACACGTACGTCGTTGAGTAAGAAAACCTAAAAACAAGAGTGTACAACCAGTGTATATTGCCAATGATGACATGTGGATCTGAACTCATCTCGTCACGTACGTCGTTAAGTAAGAAAACCTAAAAACAAGAGTGTACAACCAGTGTATATTGCCAATGATGACATGTGGATCTGAACTCATCTTGTCACGTACGTCGTTAAGTAGGAAAACCTAAAAACAAGAGTGTACAACCAGTGTATATTGCCAATGATGACATGTGGATCTGAACTCATCTCGTCACGTACGTCGTTAAGTAAGAAAACCTAAAAACAAGAGTGTACAACCAGTGTACATTGCCAATGATGACATGTGGATCTAAACTCATCTCGTCACGTACGTCGTTAAGTAAGAAAACCTAAAAACAAGAGTGTACAACCATAGGCGGCGCAAGGCTTGTGCGACGTGGGCAACCGCCTACGGCCTCGCGACCCAAAGGGCCTCGCACCCCGAAAAATCAAAGAATTGTCATTCATCTATTAATTGTCTTTGAGTATTAAATAATTACTTAAAAACTATAAATAAATTAGAAGTGATTGTTGACTGTCTAAGTTGAAAACCAATAGTGTCAGCGACGTCCTGGACTTCAATCTGAACGAGATTAGAATGGCTTCCAAGCACATTAAAAACGCCAATGTACCTGGTGAGTACAGAATTACAACAGAACTTTTGCAAGAGAGTGGATAATCGGTACACATTAACGTCCCTAAGAAGCTATGAAATTTTGCCCTTCCACTTGACACTACGTAAAACATAAGCAAAAGTGGAAAAAAAGCAAAATATCTTGTATTTTCAAAAAAAAAAACGATAACTCCCTCACAAAGAATTACAGCTGGTTTGTCTTCTAAACTGTATCACCAGTCATTAAAAAATGTCCTGCATGCAGAATTCATGACTTCTAGTCTTTAAAATACGCTGATTTGAAACCCAGCACTATGCTCAGTTTAACCTACATACTGTCTACCAACAGATAGGTTAAGTCATCAGAAAAAGATGTGTTCATGTCACATGTATCCGGGGGTGTTAGGAAACTGCTAGTTATTGACGAATATTTCTGTTACAAATATAGGAGGAAAATGTGACGTTCATAGATTTAATATAACAAAAATCATTGATATCTTCATCCACGGCAAACCATGCGAAAAGGTATATATTTGGTAGTTTAATTACCCTTAAATGCGAATGAAATGAAAATTTGAATGATTTTAATATGGGCGCTATCATATAAACAATTTACATCGCACAGTGTTTTTAGTGTATTTTCATGAACGACAGAAATTAACCCACTAGACAAGTCCACCTTCGGCCAAATAGTCAACCGACGAATAGAACTCGATTGTGAAGTCCAATAATTCTCAAAATCTCAAAACAAGTGTACTACAACCATTGTGTGTTGCAACCTACGAACCTATGAACCCGAGGCACGGTCCTTAACTTTTGCATGCATGAGAGAAAGCTTAAAGTCGTTCTGCAAACTATGGAGAGGGCTGTGCTTGGAGTAACTTTGCGTAACAGAATCCGTGTCTAATATATTTGCAGCAGAACCAGGGTTACAAATATGGTTCAAGGTATCGGTAAATAATGTGCAATGGGCCGGCCATAGCTCGAAGAACCGATTGCCTATGGAGAAGAAAGGTTCCCGAGCGACAGTCTCCTGGTAAGAGGAGCAAGGTTATCCCCACTAAATGGAGGTCGAACGAACAGGTAAAGCGTGTAGGATGTTGATGTATATATGTGGCTCAAGATCGTGACTGTAGCACTGCTAGAGGAAGTCCATATACAGCTGTGGACTTGTGACGGGTTATAATAGAGATCCAAACACAATTAATGGAAAATAATTATTCGTCACCAGGGGCCTCGCAAAATAGACCTTGCCCACACCAAATTTAGGTCTTGCTCCGCCCCTGTACAACCAGTGTATATAGCCAATGACGACATATGGATCTGAGTGGTCCTATATTACCTGGTATAGACGCAGCGAGTTATGAAGATGGCTATGCTCGGAGTTACTCTTCTTGATTGAATTCGGACAACGGATCAGTTCTTTAAAGAGGTTATAGGTCGGCCATACAGTTCGAAGACTCAAC